TTCAGTGATGTAAGATGTTCAATAATTCTCTAGTCTTGTGAAACAAGAGATTGTGAACTGAAGTCAAGCTGAATTAAAGGTAGGATCATTCACCAGCATTTATTAATGAGTTGATCATTTTATTCTAAGATTCAAGCAGTATCTGGTAAATGGTCACAACTATATTATGATTCAGAGCAGCCTCTAATTCAGTAAAATTAACCTATTGATGATGTTTCTGACAATAGTGGCATTATGGGAAAGTATGTATCATGTTTTTTTAACCATTTTTAAATTTAAGAAGTATTGTAGCATGTAGTCACCTGATGAGCTAAATGCACTATTTTACCATGTTTGCTTGGAATTGATTAATCAGTTTGTAGAGGTAAATATCATCACTTGATGTAAGATTTTTTAATATTAAATTTTTTAACTCACATACAGTAAAACTAGAGATCGGGAGCTTAATGTTGCTTATGATAAAACATATAAGTATTTTGCGTATAACCTTCATCAAGAGTACATAATACCTTAAAGCACTCTTGCCTGTATGCATGAGCTATATAAATAGTCCTTACCCACAGATTATATTACTATTTTTCTCTTATTTAGCTGGATTAAATTTATTTGTCACTGAGAGAATGATAAAAACAACATTATAGTTTTGGATCATTAATAGACAAGATGATAATTAAGAAAAAGAGCCTTACTGATGAGATAGACTCTGATGAAATAATTAAAATGATTATTGAGCTTATAGACATTAGAGAATCTACAGCAGATGGTGATGGTGGTTACACAGAAATGTATCCAGCAATTTCAAAGTTGTAGGAAATTAGGTAGACGAGTTTCTAGCTGTCAATGAAAAGGAAATTCACAAAGAAAAGGCTTGTTCAAAATCAGTATCAGTCTGAATTTTAGATGAAACACCACAAAGAATGCGGTCTGACAAAATCCCTGAAGAGATGGCTGTAACTTTTCAATCTATTCTTCAGTCAGTTCAAGAGCAATATGAAGCTATATATTATCAAGAAATGATGATGAAGATAATGCTGAGTATATAAACACAGACATTTATATGATGGTGTTGCTCTTGTCTTGTTTGGAGAAGGCCTTGCATGCTATTGCTTTATGCTGAAAGATTGTGAAGAATCATTTGACAAATTCAGAGAAGCAGAAGGAATCTTTCAGGAATATGCTCACTCGAATAATTCTTATTTTCATGTATGGGAGACTTGGTGAGCTACTCCTCAAGCGAAAATCACACCAATGCCTGCCACATTCAGCACTCCTCTTAATATTGGTAATGTGTATATGTTGCTCAAGGATTTCTTAAAAGCTATTCCACACTACACTGAAGTCCTGAGGCTCAGCAGGGACAGGTCTACTGTGTATGTAGCATATCATAATCGTGGCTGTGCTTTGTTTGAGTTAGCTGAGAAGAAGAAAGGTGAGCAGTACCAGTTCACTAAAAGAGGCGAGTTCCAGTTTATTGCTATTGGGCCTGATACTGTTGATATGGATTACAAGCATCAGCCTGATGAAGAGTTGGATGATTACACTACTGAGCTGTACCAGCAGGCACTCAAAGATCTCAGAAAAGTCATCAAGAATGTTGATTCAGCTTTCTCTAATTCAAGTTCTAGCACTATTGGTTTGGATCTTTATCTCTCTTTGTTTCACATTAATGCCAAGACCTTCCAAAGAGCACAGGACTGTGCATTTAATCTCAGGGACCATTACCTCTCACTCACTATTGCAGAGCAAGTCAGAGCTCGTACACTTGGTGAGCTACTCCTCAAGCGAAAATTACACCAGCTACCTACCACATTCAGCACTCCTCTTAATATTAATGCAGTCAAACTTGCAGTTGAATTACTACCTGATCCTTATACTCCTGTGGTTGTACTCTCTTACACTGGCACTAGGCTACTGGTATGGGTACTAGTATTTGATGGTAAGACAGTGTCAGTTAATCAGTTCCTTTGAGCAGGAACCAGAGGAGGAGCTATTTGGGAAGCAACTTGGTATGTATCTTCAATATGAGCTTGCTGATGACCTCACTGGTAACATTGACCTTTATGGAGAGGAGGAAGAAAAAGAAGTTGAAGTTGAAATTGAAGAGGAAGGAGAGAAGACTGATGAAGAGAAGGAGATTGAAAGTGACGAGGAAAAGAAGCAAGAAAGCAATGAAGAGGAGAAAAAGGAAGTTGCTGAAAAATATAGTGACAACATGGATTCAAACAAGTTAGATGATATTGAAATTCTAACAAAAGCAACAGAACCAGTAAAAAAAGAAAAGGGGGACAAAAGGAGCAGTCCTGCTAGAAAAAGAAAAATCCTATTTGATCTTTACAAGATGATAGCTAAGCCATTGGGAAGCTATATACTCAAAGCAGTTATACCAGAACCTATTCTTCACTCAAAAGGTCCTCACAAGCTGATCTTAATCCCTGATAATAGCACCAAAATGATACTGTTCAATGCTCTACTAAATAAACAAGGAGGAGTGATAAGCATACACTACAGTTTTTCCATTCTCTCCTTTGTCTGGGTAATTGTGGGTATAATGTCACAAGCTCCTCCTACAGTGATACGCATCAATGGAAACACTACTGGTGATGTCCTCATTGTTGGTGATCCATTTAAACCAGCTTTTAAGTTTGAAGGAGAAGACTGGACTCCAGGACCTTTGCCACACGCTAAGAAAGAAGCAGAATGGGTTGGGAATTATATGGGAACACCACCATTGCTTGTGAAAGAGCCAACAAAGGATGTAGTATTAGCAAAACTGATACTCATGGGTTTGTTTTATTAGCTGGTCATAATTATTATGTTAGACAAACAACACTCACATCGTTTCTTCGCTATCATGAAGATGAAGAAGCTGTTACTTTATGCAAGTGAAAATTGAGTCTCTTCGTTTACAGTCTTGCCTCATAATACTCAGTTCCTGTGATTCTGGTCGGGGGAAGTTTAAAGGAGACGAGATACAAGGAATGTGCCGTTCTTTTCTATTAGCAGGAGCAGCTGCTGTGATGACATCATTATGGAAGGTCCCTGATCAATCTGCATCCTACTTTATGCAGTATTTCTATTGTTATCTTCTTAATGGTCACACCAATCATATAGTGTGTCACTTCAGAAGTCGATTCAAAGCATTCGCTCCATTCACCATTTCTCTCAAGTCATACACTGGGGAGGATATCAGCTAACAGGGAGTGATGCCAGGATTGTGGTTGAAGTCTCTGATCAGGATAAAATGGTTTTTAAAGCTTTGGGTTGTCCTGAAGGTGTCTCTCCATTTCCTTGCCTTGAGCTGTTACAACAGTTGGAAAATAATCTGCTTTCATCTTCTGAAAATAATG